TTATGTCCCTATTGCTTATCAAAATTGTACCTCTGCATTAAATCCTCCCTAATCCTATAGCTAGATGTGATTGATCTCTCCCACTTCTTAATTCCTCAGATTTTTTATAACATTTATTGTGACAGTAGAGCATAATGGTAGAAACCAGAATCAGATTGTCTCGAAACACTCTAGCTCCATCATTGTTAACACTATGACCTTGGATATGTCAAGTCCTCTTCTTTGGATTTGTGTAGATTTGTTTTATTTAGATAGATAGATAGATAGATAGATAGATAGATAGATAGATAGATAGATAGATATTTAGATATATTTATATACACACACATATGTAGTATCTATTGCAAAAAGTTTTTATGATGATAAAAAAGAATTCATTTCAAGGAAAGCGAAATCTAGAGAGAGCAATGAGAGAGAATGGGAGCACATTAAGATAAGGGGCAAGCTTAGCTACAGATGAGCCCAAAGGAACTTTTTATCATGAGGAAATGTTTTAAAACAAAACACCTAACAACAACAAAAAATAATAATTAAGAATAGAGTGAGGAAATATTCAAAACTTAGCTGTAAGAATAGATTAGTACAACTTATAAAACCTAGTATACGGTCATGATTGCATAACTATTAATTTACTACTGTTTATCAAACTGTATGCTTAAAATGTACAAATTATACCTCAGTGAAGTGCTTTTTTAATGAATATATAGCAAAGACTTATAAAATTGACTATTATCTTATACTACCTTACATTATTTATGTATCTTTAGTTGATTGGTAAAAGTACCTCAGTTTTTTAAAAAGAAGTATCTCATTTTTGCACTAGTCAAAAAACAGAGAATAACAAATGTTGGCAAGATTGTGGGGAGAGTGAAACTCTATGTGACAAATAGGGGAAATGGTATAACAACTGTGGAAGATAGAATGATGCTTCCTAAAAAAATATGAAATAGAAATGCTACATGATGATAGAAATACTAGAAATCCTACTCTAAGGTGTATTGCTCACTGAGTCATTCATTGCCATGAAGTTGGAGCCAGCTCATAGCTGACCCCTACCTTGGGTCTCCAGGACTATAAGTTGCATAAGAGGAGACTGCTAGTCTTTCTGATGTGGAGCCACCAAGAGGCAGGGCCTTTGGTTGACAGCACAACTAGTCTTCTAGCCGAGTTCCCTCTTTGACATATGTCCCCGTAGAAATAAGTGTTGTGATGTGACTATACCTAGGACAAGGTGTATACACAGAAAACAAGGCAAAAACAGGATGGTCACCAGGGGTGAGAAAAGTAGAGCAAGAAAATTACTGATTAGCCTCAATGGTGAAGGGAAAGGCAATATACAGCACAGGTGAAGGCAGGTCAAGGTCAAGGCAAAGGAAGACACAGAGGATGATGCAAGAATGAAGAAAACTACAATGCTACTGACAGAAGCGCAGCCTTTTTCTGGTGGTTTGAAGCTACCAGTGGCTCCTGAAAGAAAGATGGGCAAGCTCTGCATCTCTTCCAACTTGGTGGCAATGAGAAAGAAAGCTGGTAGTTTCTATAACATTGGCAATCCTATGATAATGGTATTTACAAACAGTAATTTATGAATGGATGCATATAGGAAATGTTGCTGTTATGTTGTTATGTACTGTTAGGTTGGAACCAACTCATACCTGACCCACTTGGGTTTTTGGAGACAGTAAATTTTACCAGAGAATGATTGCCCTCTTTGTCCCGGGAAGCAGCTGGTGGATTCAAACCATTTGTCTTTGGGATGGCAGCACAGCTCCTTAGCACTAGGTCACCAGATCTCCCCATATGAGTAGATAGGTATGGTAAAGAAGTGGGAGGGTGCAAAGAACCACAACTACCTGCAGATATAGTTTTGATTGTAGGTTGTTGTGATTAGGTTCCATTGAGTTGAGTCCAACTCACAGTGACCCTATGAACAATAGATCTGAACCCTGACTTATCCTGAGCCGTCCTCACCATTTCTAATACACTTGAGTCCCTTGCTGCAGTCATCATGTCAGTCCATCCCATTGGAGGTCTTCCTTTCTTTCACTCACCCTCCACTCGTCCAAGCATGATATTCCTTTCTAAGGAATAGTCTCTTTCAACAAATGTCCGAAGTATGAGAGATGAAGCTTTGCCTCCAAGGAGCACTCTGGCTGCAACTTTTCCAAGACACACCTATTCATTCTTTTGACAGTCCATGAGATATTTCGTATTATTCTCCAGCACCACAACTCCAAGGCCTCAATTCTTCTGTCATTCTTACTCATTGTTCTAATTCTCAGATACATAGCAAGTGATTGAAAAGACCATGGCCTGAATGAGGCACACCTTAGACTTTCAACTGACATCATTGCTCACCAGTGTTTTGGAGAGGTCTCTTAACAGTGGCCTTAACAAAAGCAGTATGTCTCCTGATCTCCTGACTGCTGGTATTAAGGATGTTGATTATGAATCCAAATAAGGTGAAAGCATTAACAGTTTCAATCCTTTCTCCATGTGTCATCATGTTAGGTACCCTTAAAGGTCTTCTCTGCTTTACTAAACAGTATGTCTTTTTTCCAAGGACAGCATGCTTTATCACTAGACATTGTGGGTTTTTTTTCTTTCCAAACATTATATCTTTTTTCCGAGGACGATGAAGTTTCACTTTTGCCTTTAAGAAGCACCCCGACTGGATTTATTGAAAGACAGATTTGCATGTTCTTCTGACCATCCGTGCAACACTATCATGCAGTCATCAGTTCTTCTTAGGTTTTCCTTTATTCATTGTCCAACCTGCAGATGTATAGGAAATGATTGAAAATACTATCACTTGAGTCAAGCACACTTTAGTCTGAAATCAGGTATAGGTGTGCTTTACCACTTTAAAGAAGTCCTTGACCACAGGTTTACCTAGTGCAAAACATCTTTTGATTTCTTAACTGCTGCTGATAAAGAACTGATGCCTTTGAGTTGTGTTGTTGAAGAAGAGTATTGAATATGTCAAGGACTGTCAAAAGAGCAAGCAAATCTGTCTTGGAGCAAGTGCAACCAGCATGCTCCTTAGAGGCAAGCATGGTGAAATTTCATTGTAATTACATGTATTGTACGTGTATTGTCAAGAGGTACCAATCTTCTTAGGAAAAGACATCATGCTGGGAAAAGTAGAGGATCAGGAAAAGAGAGGAAGACCTTCAACCAAATGTGTTGACACAGTGACAATAACCGTGGGCTTGAACATATTAGACAGAGTGAGGAACAAGGTTTTGATCTGTTGTTTCTGAGGATGCTACGAGTTGGAGTCAACGTGAAGGCACCTAACAACACCTAACATGTGCTGCTCTCAGAATTGCGTGCCATGTCACCATGGGTCAGAATTGACTTGACAGCGATGGGCTCATTTACTTTTGGCATTTTAGCCCCCCCCACACACTGGCATCAAGTCAGTTGTAACTCATAACTGCCCTCCATCAAGTTTCTGAGGCTGTAGACCTTTACAGGAGTAGACCGTCCCTCTTTGTTCCATGCAGCAGCCATTAGATTTGAACTTTCTAGCCTTTTTGATAAACCACCCAAAACACAATACGCTATACTCCTTTCCAGGACTCCCTTTTGATGCTTAATGGCCAGTTATCCCCAGCATTACAAAACTGTCTTCATGCTATTTGAATACTCATGCTTTTAAAAAAAATTATCTTTTTTTAATTGTGATTTTAACAAAAGTTTACAGAAAAGTTGGATTTTTATTCATTCATTTTTCGCACATTTTTCTCCCTACCCTCCAAGTTTACTTTTAATTTTTTTCTTTACTTATACTGGTTTGTTTCCAAAATTCTAATGCATTGCTTTTCAAACCAGATTCTTCCAATTTCCCTCCCCCTCCACCAAATGATGCAAGCCTGTGATTAATTCCCCCAACACACATACACACATCTTCATCCCTCAGCTTCCACCCTCCCCCTACTTGGATCTTCATATTCATTCTACAATAATGGTTTTATACAATATTTGTCCTTGTGGTACTGAGTTAGTTCACTCAGAATAATGCTTTCCAGTCCCTCCCAAGTTAGGTAATAATTTACAAAAGCATTGCTCCTGTGTGCTACATAGCATTCAATTGTATGAATGCACCATAGTTTCTCAATCCATTCATTTGTTGTTGGACATCTGGGCTGTTTTCATGTTCTTGCAATTCACTCTTTTTTAAAGGTAGATCTTCTCAAATAATTTCTTTAAGAAGCCAAGGCAATAGTTTTCCAGGAACCACAAGAAAATTATGAATGGCATTCTTGTATTCTTCCAGTGCAAAGATGAATGTTTTCTATTGTTTGGATTATAATAATAATAAACTTTTAAAAATTATCTGTCCATGCCATCATTTTTTTTAGCACTCCAGAAGATGAAAGCAATTTTTATCAACCAAACGTTGCTTACACAAATAAATAGAGACCAAAATATCTAGTATTTTCAGGAGATAAATTCTTGCTTAGGAATTTACCTGTGGTTGTGGAATGAATTTTTTGTTGAACATCTTACTTGAAAAAAAAAAAACCCTGATATTTTGGCCTATTAAAAGAAACATTAAAGATTTGTGCATGTCTTAATTTTTTAAGAGGAAAATTTGAAGGTACAAAGTGCAGGAATTGTCAATGTTGTCAGGGAAGAATGTTCTTTTCCTGTAATTAAAAGGAGCAAAATTAAGCAACCTCCCTTTTTTGGACATTTTAACAATAAACCCCAATGGTGGGATATGACAGGGTATGAGTTTTAAAAACAAAATCTAACTAATCTGATACCATACAAATTTGCTTTATTTAAACCAGAGAACTGGAGCTCGCTGGTGTTTATAAAAGCAAAGCCACCCCTTGAGCTTTCTGCCTGCCATTATTTTATTTCAGTAAAGACTAATGGCCTACCTTGAAGCTTGAGTATCCCTGTAAGTTCTGGTTAGCCCAGGATGGACTTTTGAATTTTCTTTTATTGAAGGCCCCCAAATGGTTTCCTTTTTATTATTCATACAGGTGCAATGACAGGAGTTAGAAAAGATGCATCCACATCTCCTATAACAACAGGAAGCCAGGAGCCTGTCCCTGCAGCCACATCTTCGTTCCAACACAACATGTCCCGGTAAGCTTCAGGAACTCCTTGGTTTGGCACTCACCAGATGAGAGCATTTAGGGTGAGGTTGGTTGGTTGGTTAGTTTGATTTTTATTTTTGGTGGTGGGGTTTTGTTTGTTTGGTTTTTTAATTTTATTTTTCTTAATACAATCATTCATATACATTGTGTTTCATCGATGTACCAGCGTACATTGTGTTTCATTCATGTACATTGTGTTTTCTATATTCATTTACATTGTGATTTTTTTATAATTAATTGCTGTTGATCTATGCCTTTTATCACCTCGTCTCTTCAAGTCCCCATTACATGTTTCGTATTCCTTCACCCATATGCCAACTAACCTCTGCCTCTGGGAATTTTTTGAGATTGATTTAATAAGGAGTAGAAAAAAAGCTCTGCTGCTACTGCTGTTATGTGCTGTTGAGTCCCCTGCAACTCATAGCGACACTATGTACAGCCTCCACTGTCCTGAGCCAGTCTCACTAATTCCAACACACCAACCCCCATTGCCCCAGTTACTGTATCAATCCATCTCATTAGGGGACTTCCTCTCCTGTGCTGTCCCTCCACCCTTCCGAGTATGATGTCCTTCTCCAAGGATCGGTTCCTCCTGGTCATGTGCCCAAAATATGTGAGACAGAGCTTCAAAATCCTAGCCTCCAATTTGTTGTTGTTATTGTTAAGTGCCGTCAAGTCGCAGGCGACTCATAGTGACCCTATGAAGGAGAGTCCTTGACGCTTGGGTGCCTTTCATCCTCTCTCCAAGTTCATAGGGTTTCCGGAGGCAAGCTATTATGGAAGTGGACACCACTCCTCCTTCCACGCTTGTTTAATCAGGGAGCTCCACCCCACTCTCTCTGTCCACATTGGGTAGCCAACCATTAATGCATTTGACACATCCGTGTCACAGTGTTCAGCCTCACAGCAACCACAAGTGACCGTGGGACGGCAACTTGTACACCAGGGCTATACAACCTAGAGGAATGTCTGAACAAAAACAATGAAAGTCACCCACCTTTGCCTTGGTCACATCGTTTTCTCTTCACTGGCCAGCTGATCTCTCTCTCTCTCTCTCTTTCTCTCTCTGTTGATGTTATTGGCCTCCAATTTAGCAACTCTTAATTCTCCTTACTAGAGAGAGGGATCTTATTTTAAAGCATGCAGATTTGACCCGATTGAACTGTGTGGAACCCTTTTTCTGTACCTGCACCTTCTTGATTGACAATAGTAGTGGTCAAGGATTTCCAGAGACATTTCAGTGTAATCCTACCTCTCATCAGAAGGTCTGTGGAGCAGCTGATGCTTCCTAAGTTTTCACAGAATGCTTATATCCTTGTACTATACTTCCCTAAACTAAGATTGAAAATTAGAGTTGCATTTCTATTAAAGTCAAAAGACTGCCAACATTTAGTTAAACAACAAACATTGGAAGGGTAAATCATTTGGCCAGCCTTATATGGAAAGAAATATGTTATTTTAAAATCTCCCCTATATAGTAAGCTAATTCCCTTATTATGCATTTGAAGTCCAATGTATAAATGGCACCACACAAAGGATTTGGTGTATGTTTCCTTATAATAAGATTAATTTTGACCACTTAACTTCCTAGAATTTTGCCAGATGATTATAGATACATATGTAAGGCATAATTTGTATTTCATTTAAATTCCAGCTGGCTTTGCAAATTAAAAATGTCCAAATTATTCATCTCAAGTATCCTTTCAAATATATATTTTAAATTTTTTTTCAAGTTTGGGATGGTATCTTATAGGAGAGAAATTATATTTCTTTCTCCTTGAAACAATTGGTTTTCACCCCAGAGTGCTTAGAGTAACAGTCTCAAAGAAGCTGGCCATAGCATCCTGAAGGAAGTTTTAATTGAGGCTATTATTATGCCTTTAATTTTGGATTTAGAAGCATGAGGATCATGAACAACTTGCATGAAATGGTCCTATCACAGAGATAATAATTGTTACCAACTACTAAGTATCTACTATGTGCCTAGCTGATCTCTGATAGCTTGTGGTTGTGGTTGTGGTCCAGTGAGTCAGAAGACCCATAGCTGGCCCTCCAGTGGGTTTTCAGAGGCAGTTAATCGCATGGGAAGAAATTGCCCATCCTTCTCCCACGGAGCAGCTGGTGGATTCAAGCTGCCTGCCTTCAGGATTTAAGCACAGATTCTTACCACTAGGCCAAGAATGCTCTCTTAGTCTCAGTGGTAGGAATTGTACTGCCAATGCAATGATATGTAATTTGAATCCACCAGGTGCTCCACGAGAGAAAGATGAGCAGTGACCTCTGTGTGATTTACAGCCTCTGGCAGCCTGCTCAGAGTCAGCTATGAGTAGGTCCTCACTCAGTGGTTCACAACAATAACAGGTGCCTAGCTACAGCCTTGGTGGTGCCATGAGCCAGTCCTCCTCTGTCTTGTAGGATCACTGAGAGTTGCAATCCCCTAGACTGCAGCAGGTTTGTTTTGGGCTGTGGGTTTGGATTGGGTTTGTGGGATATGCCCAGCCCTCCACCACACTGTTTCCATTATCTGATTTGATCTTTATCACAACCTTAAAAGATGGTTCCAATATAAGGCTTATTTTTAGAAGGAAGAAATTGAGCAATTTGTGTTATGTAGAAAATAAGAGGCTAGCAGCCTGTGTCCAGACTTCAAAGCCAGAATCTTAAATATTGTCATCGACAGTGGTAAATTCTCCCAAGGACACACCTGTTAAAAAGACAATTTAACACATTCTCTCTCCAAGAAAAGTAAACCAAAGCCAGCCAGTGAGTCCGTTCTGACTCATGGTGACTCACTGCACTGAGTCCCTGAGACTTTAAATATTTTTTATTTTTTAATTGATATTTTAATGAAAGTTTATAGAGAACTTGGATTTCCATTCATTGTTGCACATTTTTCTCCCTGTTACCCCTCTCCCCCCCCACCCCCCAGTTCACTTTTTCCTTTGGAAAAAAAAAATTCTTTCATTATTACTCTTATCATGCCAAGAATACCTAATCAAATATTCCTTTTATACAATTCTCTCCCTCATATATTTCAATGCCATGTACGTTATGTATCCTCTCTTTTCTTAGTTTCCACCCAACCCCCATGTCAGTCCTGTCTTATAACAGTGGCATTATGCAATATTTGTCTTTTTATGACTGAGATATTTCACTCAGTATAATGTACTCCAGGGCCAACCATTTTATATAATATTTCATGACTTCTTTGTTTTTTAGTGCTGCATAATATTCCATTGTGTGACTATACCACAGCTTCTCTATCCATTCATTTGTTGATGGGAACTTGGGTTGTCTCCAACTCTTTGCCATGTGAACAAAGCAGCAATAAACATGGGTGTGCATATATCTGCTTGGATGATGGTTCTGGTTTCTTTGGGGTATATTCCCTGCAGTAGAATTGCTGGGTCAAATGGTATTTCTATTTCCAGCTTTTTGAGAAAGCACCATACTGCCTTCCATAGTGGTTGCACCATTTTACACTCTCACCAACAGTGAATAAGGGTTCCTGTTTCTGCACAACCTCTCCAGCATTTGTTGTTTGCTGCTCTGTTGAATTTTGCTATTCTTACTAGTGTGAGAGGATATCTCATAGTTGTTTTGAGAGACTTTAACTCTTAATGGAGCCTGCCTAATCTCTCTCCCTTAGAAACACTGGTGAGTTTGAACTGCCAACCTTTTGATTAGTAGCCCACCTCTTGACCTACTATACACTTTAAAGCTACTATCATTGTCTGTTTGCCAATGTCCTACAGATAGTAGTGAATCTGTAATATGGAATGAGATGTCTTGTTTGAGCTACTTAACATTGTAGCCAAACACTTGTGTTCAGTGAGGATCTATGCCCACTCACTGTGGGGTCAGTGAAGGAAATAAACTGGATTTTCAGTCTGAATAGGGAATTTTCCATTTGTTGACAATTAAAATGATATTTTTAGCATTATTTTAATGTGTTTTGATGCTTGGATTTCAATTTTGAGATAAACAAAGAAAAGTTAAATGTTCTTCTAATAAGGGTTTTATGAAACATCCTTGACACACATTTTCTGAATCAACCATATCAACTTCGTAGAGTTCTACAGGCTCATATTTATGGGCCTTTAAAAGAGGATTTTTTTTTATCTGTTAGACCTTAATACTGCGTATCAACTAAATATAGATTATCAGAAGCTTCTTAAGTAATGAGCATTTGGCTAAATAAAGCAATGTGTAGCACATCAAATTTTATCCTTACAAATGCACAATGGCACATTATAGATCTGTTCTGCAAAATGCAGAGTTGAAAAGCAGAGAACTCAGGCTATGAAAATCAGTTACTGGAAAAGGCACAGTGGTGGCTTTCCAGATTTTCAGAATCAGGATTATTTGAATTCTTTTCATTTCAAAGTGTAGAAAAGGCATTTTCATTGACTACTTTTTAGTTCCTCACAAACTCTTAGTACAAGGACAAGGCTGTTCTTCAACTGAACAAAACTGTAAAAGTACTAAAAGTACTTGTAAAAGTACTGAGGGAAACAGGAATATAAAGCCTTCTTTTCTTAAGTTCCAAAAATTCTGTCAAGTACCAACAGAAGGAAGGGGCTGAAAAGATGCTGGTAAGGGGATTGGTTTCCCTTTGTTCTCTGAAAAGCACTAATATCTGTAAGAGTTCTTCGGCTTAAATGTGCAGGTGATAAAACCAGGCGTGGCAGAGTCATCTTTCTCACTCATGGGGCAGACTGCTAATTGTTCCCTCTGCTGGCTGTCAATGTTATGTGAAATTTTCATTTCCCATTCAAGATGGGAAAAGTTGTGGCTGAAAATGTTAACATTTGCATTTTTATTTGTTGATTTATTTAAAGGACAGCCTCTCCTACAGCAATCCATCACTTGGTGACACCCCAAGTATGAATAATGTATTGTAGGCTAGCAGTTACAATGTGTAATAAGTGCTAGAGACAGTAAAGGCATGCCAACTATGTTGCAAATGTAGTATTTATCGACTCATAA